TGATGCATAATAGCCGGCTTTGATGTTCAAAGCAGTCACGTGATCGTTTCCAAATTCGCGCGCACGTAATTTTTCACCACCCTGTAGACTCTCCTGTAAAGGAAAGCCACTCGATAGGCGATCAGCGATAAATTTGAAAACATTGACTCTTGCGTGTTAAAATTTGTAATAAAAGCAAAGGTCCACAGGGTCATAGCGCAAGATGCGGTTAAATGTGGATAGATAGGTGGATAGAGGGTAGCTACATCTCTCATTTTCATCCGGATTTAAAGCGTCCAAAAAGAGAAATACATTAGAATGCAGTGACCACTCCTTTTGTTTTCTTGCTGACACCTAACATACCTCAAGGGATCCATTTTCAGCCAGCACGATGATATTGGTAACCTTTCGTTATCAAGTGAAGTGTCTACTACATGTGACAATGGAACGGCACTTCATCTACAGCTTTGTGATGCCAGTCGTGATGATTCTCCCCGACGGATTAGTGTGAGTCTTTACTTTTGCTACAATCTCTCTCTCCGGTTCGCTTGATTTGTCCGTCACCTTTTCGGGACGTTGAAAACTGAGATCGGCTGGCTCGTGCTAATCATTGCCCATTCCCACTTCCAGTTCGGCTGCGAATCTCGTTGGAAGCCGAATGCGTGGGCGCATTTCACAGAATTCCCTCAGAGTTCCCTCAGGGATCCACTGGAAACAAAGAATCTTTATAAAATTATCGCGTGGGACTCGGTGATACGTTGTCTCGATCTACCTACCAGAGGGTTTACTTACCAGCGTGAGGCGCACTGTTATGTTGATACAAGAAATCATTTTAGAACTATGATTAAATTTTCTGTGTCCGGGCCTAGCAACAATGGGCAAATTTTCCCACTTGACTTTAATGCGCGATACGATTCAAGCGGTCGCTTTTTTCTCTTAGTATTCGGCTCCCATACAACTCCGTCACACATTGGGACTGAAGTGCATTCTTGTTCAGTAGGATTTCAAAGGAACTGTGATTCCTTTGATTTCAGTAGTCATTCTCAATAACCTTTTACGAAAGCTTCATTATAGTCCGTGGTGGCGTCAAGTGCTTCAAGCTTGTCTAGCCCTGTAGCTAAACGTGGTCGTTTCGGTTCTTGTTGTGCCGAAAAAATTCCCGGTAGGTGTTGAAAATCGGTCACTATCGTGGATGAGAAAAACTCTTCATTTCTGCTCTGAAACGATTTTACTTTTCCGAGCAATCAAGAGTAGAAAATTCCGTTATTGTAGATTTAACGTTCCGATTCAGATAACGGGGCGTTTGCAGAGGAAACTCCATTGTTTGATGAAGAGAGGTATCAGAATGAGTATGCGAGAGATGTGAGTTTTTCCTTGATTTCCCTTAGGTCTTCATTTGTGGATCCGTATAAGGTGAATCTGCTTTTGAAAGTACACCATGCTTAAAAAATTCTTTTCAGACATACGCATGGTTAAGCTATCGAGAGTCGACTACGCATACCTTAGGTTCGTTATTTATGGATGCCCAGAAGAAGGAAGGCGCATCATGGGCAGATCGTCGGGCCGTTGTTATGAGAGCGCTCGTGGACATGAAAAAGAGGAAGCACACTCTGGTGAATAACACTAAAACTTCGTTAGTTTCAAAATACACGTAAATAGTCTTTGGCCACAACGGAAAACCCTGCCTTGTTTCATACGTTTCTTCAATCATCGTTGCGCTCTCACTGATCATGGCTGGAGATATGTAAGCTCAGCGGCTATATTCGCGTTTCGAGTACTATGCAAGAGCGCAGTTCATGATAATTTGGAGGAATCTAATTTTGGACCAGTAATGGAAGTGATATTCCGGGATAGCGAAATTGTAACCAAGAAAACGCGAAAGTCGGGGTGTTCAGAGAAATATGAGGCTGTAAAAGGTAGTGTAAATAGAGGGTAGACAAAAATGTAACGACAAAACTTGCATGGAATGGGAATTTGAGCGAGCCCTCCAGATGTGTGCCATTACGTACAGCTGGCTACAGTAAGCTGCCTGCATGCAGCGTGCGCGTCCCGGTGCGAATGGTGCACCTATACAGCTCTACAACGCCGTTTAACTCGTCGGCCATTGGGTGCATACGGCTGCTGAGCCGGTTTCGAGACCCTTATTCCAAATCTGTGTGGTTTCTCAATCCAACAACGGCCCTTGTGCTATCCTTAAGGCCACGGGTTCATCTCATCCTGTTGAGAAATCTCAGAAACCATTTGTGTTCTGAACTGTGTCCCTAACAAGTTCAACACCTGTTTTGCCTCCATTGAGGTTTTACTTCTCCGCTTGGCTAATTTGACAAGTTGCTGAGGTTTTTTTTTCTAATTTCTGAACTGGAAGATGTTACAACTAATCGTTNTTATATTCTATGCAGGAGGCAATTCATCTTGGTATTTACATACTCGACAAATGCCTGGATTCTTTTCATATTGCGAAAAATTCTCTGGTCGATGTTTGTGCAGTTTCGATGGTTCTTGGAACGTAGGCGATTACCAATTGTGTTCATCTTGTTTGATATACTCATTGAGTTCCGATAACGTTCTGGTAATAGTTTAGTGTGATAGATTATCTTAAGGAAAATGGAGGAATACGAATCGCTCCGACCAGGTACCGTGGGTACACTGCTTGGTACCACTGCAAGCAAGGCGCGTTTGTGTGATATTGAAAAGCGTATTGTTTACGAGATGAAGGATGGATTATGTTTTCCTACTCCTTTCCTCTTTGCTCATTATATGCTGGCTGAGTTGTGTTGCGATGATGAACAAATTCGTTTTGCGCAGGTGAGAATACTTTTACGTGCATACATAGGTTGCTCCACTGCAACCTTTCATGTCTCGGTACTATATGTTTCTCTTCCTTCTGTCTGGACAAAATTACATAGGTTGCTCCACTGCAACCTTTCATGTCTCGGTACTATATGTTTCTCTTCCTTCTGTCTGGACAAAATTGTTCGTATATAACTTTTAACTGATAATATTATCATTTCAGTATTTGTTAGAACTGGCTTTGTTGGACTCGCAGTTCCGTGATGAAGGAGGGCCAAGAGTAGCTCACGCAGCCGTGTGCATGGCTTCCGCTATAGCGAAGCAACGCGATGTACGTTGTTCCCTCGGCTTTCTTTATCTGTTTTCTTGATTTGAGACTGTTCAGAATTGGTATCTCACTTGAGGACGAGTCTGGGGTCACTTATGAACATTATCGCCATTTTTCTTTACGCTTTTCTTTGAGCTTACTAGATTTCGTTGTCATAATGTTGCATTTCAGTCTATTTTCGTATCTGAGGGCGATAGATTATTGGAAGCGGAACGAAAACTTTTTCATCTAACGAAGCTGCCAATAGGGAGCACCCGAAACGTTATGCGTAATTTGGTGCATGAGATGGATCGGGTACGTTGCTTTACTTTACATACTATAGTCTTTTGAACTCCTATATGTTGCTCAAGTTTTTCCCATGAATGGGCGAGGACCGATCTTACATGGAAAACTTCATCATGTTCACCTTGAGGGTATGTTTTGAGAGTGGTTTATTATAACTCCTGTTGCCTTGGAAACAACTACAGTTCACAGTTCGGCAGCTGGCCGTAGTAGAAACACTATATGCTAACAAGCCGCTTTTAGGGTAATAGATGCACACTAATGACAGCTGAATAAGTTTCAATTTTGTTGCCAGGTTAAATATACAATAATAATCGTCAAAACGAATTCCGTTACTCAAGAGTCTGCTGACACGTACCTACCATGGTACTCTTTTGGAACACATCATCTACTAGTGTTCGTAAAAATCATCGTGATTTCAACATCAGATCATCTTGAGTGATATAACTGGAAAGGACTCATTGTTCTTCATCTCCGTAAAAGGGGCTTATTTTCAATGTTATTCGCTTGCCACTACACCCACCATCTTTCCCTTGACCAGATGTAGCAACTGCATAGCATACCAATTCCTATATCCGCGAGCGTCGGTGGCGGAGATACCTTCAAGGTATTTCTCTCACTCAGAATTAGTAAGTACGTGCTTTCTAAACGAACTTCGCTTTCCACGCTTCACCAGTTGCGCTTATTTCAAACTAGGTTGCGCTATGGGACCTGGGCGTAAGCTATGCCTTTTTTGGAACAATGAGGTGTTGCTTAAGCACTCATACGTCACTAATAATAAGGGTTCAGACTTCAAGCACTAATGGAGCGATCCCGTGACTTTTTGAAGCCATTCAAATTCATGTGGAACATATTCAAAGCACGAAAGTTATTATTCAGGCAGTTCAAGAAAAACATGCTATCTTGATCGACTACTTGTCTGATGACAATAAGCGTATCTGCTTTTGTGAAGTTTCGCCTGCGCTCTGGGATCTACTTTGTGGTGTGTGTAGGAATCAGCATGAGAGGTGGGTACCGAGCTACTTGCTACATATGTTTTGCACCTACCGTAATAAAGAACGAAGAGATTTTATATAAATTAATTATAAATAAGTTGTATGTTATTCGTTTCGCCTCCGCTCACTTCGTTACTCATCAACCCTTGAGTCTCATCATTTAGTTGTGGTTAGTGAAGTACTTACCAAATAGAGGATCGGTGTGTTACAAGTGCAGGGTTCTATTATTTTGTGTCAGCGCAAAGGCAAATCGTGCATATAACGACTTATGATTCCAATCGTGTCGACTGNNATTATCGGTAGTCTTACGGTGACTAGGAAAGTGAGTAAGTTATGCCATCAAGCTAGAGAAGTCACGGACGTCGAAATTACCCAAACCGGTAATATATCTGTCGAATTCGTCAATTTTTATTAATGCGCTTGGGCAATAGCCTAACTGCTACTAATACATAAATGTTCATGATGAAATGATCATGTATTCGAGATTTTTTGTTACAGTGACTAATCGAGGTTCGTTGTTTTTGGCAGCAGAGTATCGGCTGAGGAGTTATGATAGCACAAGGTTGAGGTTATGTGTGTTGTTCCTAATGATGACCAATGCCTTTCAGGCTTGCCCAATTCGTTGTTATTCATTTACAAAGTTTATTCTTCATTGTTGAGATTTTTGAATAGAATCAGATATGTAAAACAGGTGACAACAGGCGTTCAAGCTTTATCGCATAACACGTGTGTCCTAAAGAATCTGATAGGGTATCTGCGTAGTATCCTTTTTTTAGTTACCGTACTCTCTTTTTTCCATTTTGGTTTGTACAGAAATTATTGTAGAGCTCCTTTTTTTCTCTTCCTCGTTCACATTGCGGTATATTTTCTTGAACTAGTAGTATCATTATCAAATCTGGATTATATGAAACTCGTTCTTTTTATTCATTTGTTTTGCGGAATAATGAAGTTCCCGCAAAGTTTTCTGCTATTCATTGGGAAGAAGCAAGACTGAACAATTTCGCTTAATTTTACGTTGTTGAGCAATAGTGAGCTGTTTTTCGCATTTGTAAGGGAAGCGAAGGAATTCTGCACGTGGTCAAAAAGGTTTCGTCCGGAACTAGGGCAGAAGATGCCGCTGATATAAGGAACGAAGACGACAAAAAAGAAAAGCGGTCCTTGCGATGGTGTGAGAAGAGAAGGAAAATAAGAAGCTCTAATACTCTACGTACCTGAGGGATTACCGAGATCCTGGGCGCTACCAAGTTCTAGACTTTTGCGTCGGCGTGAGAAATCGCCTGCCCTCTTCTTCAGATCAGCTTAATCGTATGGTCGTCGGCTCCTCCAGTTTTTTGTCTCCATTTCCTTCTACCAGGCACATGTTCTGCCTTAATTATCTTCTTGACGTAACCTTAATGATGGGAAAGATGACAGGCAAGATGTAAAAAAAAAGAGTTCATTTCATATTACCGGTTAAAAGCACAAAAATTCTTCTTTATTTGAAATCAATACGAAGGACATCTGAGAGAATCGTAGAGCTTTTGCTTTGGAGCGGACCAGAATTTCCTTTCCTATTCGAATATGGAGAGCTCTACCAACCTGTGCACGACCGCTAGGAAGGAAAATTTCCTGATGAATAAGGTAGAGCTTGTTCTTATCGTAAACCTGATCACCTCAGAACAAATGATGGGAGTGTGGTCATTCCCCTTATTTCACTACTGGACTAGGTTGGTTTCCTTCAAAAAATTTAACTTGATACGGTATGGTTTCCTTCAAAAAATTTAACTTGATACGGTAAAATTCCTGGCATGGCTATATGTTGATTCAGTCACTTTTGCAACTGCCATAAATGTCCTACTGTATACGAGTTCGCTTCCCAAAAGAAGACTATAATCACCATGCGGGGAAATTCCTGCATAGTTCTAGAAAAGTTGAAGTTCCCAATTAGCCCGGAAACTTCTGCAGAATATGTAGCACAGTCGTGATCGTTATCCTATTTTCACCCTTCAGACTTCAACGACGCAACCGGCAACCGTCCGTGCATGACCGACGGCGGCGCGAGCCACTTGTTGAGTACACTGGACGCCGATAGATGAGGGGCCAGCGTTGTCAATAAGTGGCTTGCGCTGCCGTCGGAAGCACGCATGCGCGCGCACGGACGGACGCACGTACAGTTGTCGGTTGCGTCGTTGCGTTGCGTTGAGACTGAAAGCAGCCATTTATCACCCTTTCTTATCAACAATTTGTGCCTCTTTTCCTTCTCGTATTCTTAAGCGGATGACTCCACTTTTTTCTAAAAAACAGAATGAAGGTGATTTAGAATGGTTCTGCGCTGAAATCAGAAGAGACTATTAATGAGGGACGAGTAAAACCTACCGCCTTTTTTGTGTTTTGGAAACTTAGGCTCTGAAAGACAGATCTCGAAGTCCGATTTTGTGTTTCCTGATCACATCAAGTATAATAGAATGACCCACATATACGACGCATTGAGAAAGGGCTCTGGGCAAGGACGCAAGTGGCTGCGAGCTGTGTTCATCAAGTTCAGACGCTCGAGTTAAGACCCACTTTCGGATTACTGTATCGTGGAATTGCGTGGGCTTTGTGATGCGTTTAGTTCAATTCTGCCCCTTTCCGGTATGGTCCTCTTCTGAAAAAGGGAGAGTTCTTCGTTATAATGGTTTTTTGATGACACATCTATGCGTGCATTGGATAACTAATATAATAATTAGATAGTCACAGGAAAGTTGTATGACATTTTCCAAGAAAAAATTAAAAAAGCTCATCAGTGGTGGCTCCTGTGACAATGGAGCGTCCAATCGATACTTTCTAGTTACGGAGGGTGTAAACGTCATCCAATCTCGAATACCAGTTCCACTTTTTTGATTATTCCATACTCGTTCGTTCCGTGAACTTGGGTCAAATATAGAACGTTGGCGTAATTCTAGGTATTCCCACTTCAGAGGAAATGTGATTAGGAATATATTGTTTGCGCTGAAATGAGGATTGGAGAGACAGTTGTCTGTTCCGATTCTCTCGAAAGCACCGTGTGTTGAGCGTGGAGCGTCGAATACCAGCCCGGCTGACGGTGTTTGCATGGAGCGTGTTATTTTTCAAGCGTAGCTGCATACAGCTCTTTTGTAGTGATGTACTTCCGTTACATTTTCTCTAAGAAGTCAAGGAAAGAAGTATGGAACAAATATAATACAAAAGAAGTTGAAGAGAAGATAGCACAGTACATAAAAACCCAATAAAGAAATTATTCACCGCCTTCCCATGCGGTATCGATCGACGGCCGACATTGTCAACAGAGCGCCGGCATTGCTCAACGCCTCCGCGCTCAACTCTCAACGCTCTACTCTGAAAGTGTCAATGCTGAGTAGGTTAGAAACAAATTGTGGTTCCCTGGTACACCTTTTGTTCAGCAGCCATCTTACATTGGAATGATCGTGTCCATTGCCTCCGAAGGGGAAAGTATGCCAACTAATTCAAAATTTTCTAGATGGATGATACTCGTATTGTTAACGCACACGGGGATGAGCTTCATGTGACCAAGAAAGGTAGCATTCAAATCTCAGGTATGCTATTTTTTAGAAGTGCATTAGAGATAATAGCAGCAAATGCAATCTTCAGCAGCTAGACCCTCGGAGTCGGATGCAGAAAGCGATGACTCGATACCTTCTTTACAAAAGTGAGTCGGGTATTGTTTGTGCGGTTCTGTACAATTCAACGCTTTCCACACTTACCCGGTACCAGTCGATCGACCGTAGAGGAATGAAAGCCTTGCAGTTGTATACAGTTTAGAATTACCTCACCTCCGCTCTTAACCAGCCCATTGGAGGAAAGGATTGAGGATAGAGTCTGCAGCTTCAATCAATACCTTTTTGAGTTGCTCCCACGCTCGACTTCCATTCAGAATCGTAGTGGCGGTTTGGATGCGTGTGTGGTTTAAGTAACCTGCGGTTGTCATGCGGTGTACAAGAGACTGCTTTTATCCAGCCAGACAAATCTGGTACCAATTAAAACCCAAAGAGATATGTAGAAGGCTTGGTGGGCCTAAGCGGAAATCGAACCGGGATTCGAACATATGACCATGCTTTCGAGATAGATAGACGAAAATTGAAGTTCAGAGCAGTCCGGAAGCGAAGAGAAAATCGGCGTGTTCAGAGAAATATAAATCTCTAGAAAGTGAGGAGTTCAAGGGTTGGAAGAAAAAGTGAGGGAGATAGTCACATGAAAGGGGTACTTGGACGAGCTCTTCAAATGTGCGCGCCAATGCGTAGAGCTTCATACAGTAAGCTGCTTGGGTGCAAGATGTGGAATGATGCAAATGCCACAGCTCCCACAACGGCGTAAGAACTGGTCCGCCTTGAGTGGGTACGTCGGCTAAGCCGCTTTCGGGCATTTAATACGCCATTTTTCGAGACTTTTTTTCTAAACCGACGCGTTCCCTATGCTATCCTTGGGGTTGCTGGCTCATTTTAGTTAGAGAGAAGTCTCAGAGACCATTTTTATCGTGGATCGTGCCTTTGGCAACTGCAGTGATCTCACACCTTCGATCCTGAACAGACGTGGTCGCTTTTTTGATTCTACTCATATGTTATGCTGAAGGCAATGATAGCAGATGCTAATCGCTGCATGCTCTCGATATTTCGAGATATGTCATGTGAGTTAATGTTTACAAATTTTCAGAATTAAATTTGATGATCATATCGTCTCAATTACTGATCCTGAACCCAAAGATAAACGTAAAAAAGGGAAAAAAGAAAAGAAAGAAAGTAAAGCGAAAGGAGGTTAGCATGTTCCTCCATTTTTAGACAAAAGACTGGAGTTGGCAACTTTCTCCGTGTTTCTTTTTTGCTATTTAGTATTCTCATATGAGAAGAACTTTGAGTATATCTAGTATATTTTTTGAGAATGAGTTCAGAAGCACTCGTTCTTCGAACTCTTCCGGAAGGATTTGTCGTTTCTTTCCTTCTGTTTCGTTTGAACTGAAGTAGGGCGCATAATGCGGATTGATTGTTGGACGGTCCATGGTCAACAATGAACTGCTCTTCATTTTGGGCCCACTACAGCTATCCTCACTCGGAGAGCTGAAATATGTTGTTGATTAGCTGTCGGCCGGTCTGGGACCCTTAATACTACCACCCACATATAATGGCTAGAGTGGTAGGTAGTATTTCTGTAAGTACAAGCTGAAGAGCGGAAACTACTTGGAATTCAAAATTAAAAAGTTGGTTCCAGACCTCACGCCACCAGAGGCAATCAAAACTGCAGAGACATTCGAAATTGGAAGAAATTCGGAAGAACTGATAATATGTGGACCCGGCAAGTGAGATTTCGTTTTTTTCTGTTTGGCGAAAAGTTGATTTTCCTCTGTTTCAACAAGTTTGCAAAACAATCAGTCCAGAATTTTTTATTTGGCGTCTTCCTTCATATTCGTATTCCTCAGCTCTGTGCTTTGCCAAGACACTATGCTACTGTTAGGGAAACGCCTAAGCTTAACAGTAGGGTTCCCAGGTGTTGAAATAAACAATTTTGTGGTGGCTAGAGACGGCCAGACTTGTCAGCGGTCAATGTTGCTCAGTACCCCTGAAGATTGCCATTAATGCAGAATTCATTCAAAATTGCAGGCTTACTAAAAAAGGTGTGGGAGGTTGTGGAACGAGTACTCAAATCGTGGAAATCCTTTCCGTATATTCTTCATTGGCAACAACAGGGCCCTGAAAGACGTGAATTTTCGCTTCGATCGACTGACTCGGAATTTGTTCCAAAACCCTACGCCATCCGATCATAAAAGGAGTGGCTTGTCTTGGTGGAAGCTCTATGAAATGCTAACCTGAGTGCGAACTCTTACCTACCTAGTTGCCCACCAAGGACGTATCATCCCTTTCATTCTGGATTACAATTAGGCCTCTGATAATTTACAAAGCCAGTCTCCGACAAACACTAACAAACTCATTCCTTTTCTTCATTCACTCATTTACTTTTAGCAAACGTGAAGTCTACAAGATGCCGCATAAACCTAAGGATGACAACGAAGGTAAAAAGAAAGACAAAAAGAGCCCGAATGAACCTGAAGCCAAACAGAGTCCTCCTCAATCAGGTGCTATATTTTTTAACAACTACTGTGGACGGAGGCGGAAGTGGTGTAGTGGTAAGTGGCGCACTATATCACACGCACGGTCAGGGGTTCGAATCCCGCATCGATGCCCGCCTAGGCCAACCAAGCCTTCCATCCCTCCGGGGTCGGTAAATTGGTACCAGACTCGACTGGGAGGATAAAAGCACTGACTTGTACATCGGCTGGCCACCGCAAGTCATTGTATAGGCCACATACGCACTCATTACGNTTATTTTTTTAACTGTGGACGGACAGGAAAACAACACCATCAGAAATATTGACAACCAATACCCTACATTTTTTTCGGCTTTGAAGAACTTTAATTTTCCCCAGATATGGTCTGTAATACAGTGAAAAAGACAAGCGGAATGAGTTTGTTTCTGAACTGATAGTTACAGAGCATAACTATTCCCTTGCTCTTTTAGCAGTTTTAATCTCAGTGTTCGTGTGTAATCATGTGGAAGTCGTTATTTTAATAGATATGAAATGCTTACCGTTAGTTCTCAAGAGCTGGATAGCAAAAAGGCAACGAATGACGGCTGGTTCGCAGCTTTTCTGTTTCCTGAGAGCATGACGCTTGATTGTGTAGATGAGTGGAAAGTGGCAATTGATTTTGCAGTCAGCCTGACGGGTGCCATACCATGAGTGTTTTTCGACCTTATACCGCAGGTATGGTATAAGGGGAGGGGGTTCGTATACATACTATGAAGAGATATCAGAAATCACTTTTTATCGTGAGCTGTGAGCTTAAAGGCACGGTTCACGATAAAAGAGGTTACTGAGTTCTTCCTTCAGGAATAGTTAGCGCCCCCCATGGGTGGTAGGAGGGACCCTCTCGCTCCCGCAATCTCGGCGCTTAGGGATTGGAAGCCCCGTCGCTGCCGTAGTTCGCTTTCACGCCCCTCGATCGGTTCATGTTAGACGAGTGTCGAGACAACACAGATTGCTATTATTCGTTCTAGAACCCACGCACAATCAGCTAATCGCCGAGTGATGAGGCGATGTTTTTCTCCCGTTCTTTTTTCCTCTGTTTTTCTTTTTGCTGCCGCGATCCTTTATTTAATATTCTACTCCTAGAGGCTGAAA